GAGTCTTTTCGGGTCAGTCTTTCTCACTACCAAAGAGAAGAGCCAGCTCTGTGCTCCTGATGGACTGTGTGCATGCCTTTCTCAGAATCATAGTGTATTGCATTTTCATTGTCTTTTTCATCCCTGCCTTCCCAACCTCTGTGAGCTCTTCACAGCAAGAAGACTGTCTTGTTTGTATCTCTGTCTTGAGGGCTTACATCAATACCTAACTTAGAGCAGGAGAAAAAGGCAGGAAGCTAAGATTTGTTGAACAACTGTTTTGTATCTACTCAACTACTGTTGAGTGTCTCCTCTTTAGAGTGCCTTATGTATTACTATGTGAAGATCTGGTATATATGTTGTGGGCTTCAAGAACTTCATGGAAAAATCCCACGATCTTTTAGTTCCATTAGTCCAGGAACTTTTTGAAACCTTTTTGTATATATTATTTCATATAATCTCAAAATATCTCCGAGAGGTAGGTTATGATATGCTCATTTAACAGATATGTAGTATTTAAACGGAAAAGTTTAATGAATTGTCTGAGGTGATAGACCTGGTAAATTTAGTTAGGATTATCCTCAAATTTGTCTGACTCCCAAGCTTACTGTCCTACTCAACAAATGCTTGTGAACTAAATGCTTATATCTGTGTCTGGGGAAATTTACTGTTAGTAAGTTATTTCACTGCATAGTTGCTGCTAGTTAATTTTCTTAATTTTTCCTTCTAGAAATGGGATTTGACCGATATAAAATGGTGGTGCAAGTGGTGATTGGAGAACAAAGAGGTGAAGGAGTATTGTGAGTAGTTTGTTCCTACTGTTTTTTTAATGTATGCGTCTCCTTAGGAGGCAAGGTCTTGACAGTTGGGCCCGACTGTATCTCTACGAGAGTGTGATGAGCAGAAGAGATGGCTGTGCTAAAGGCTCAACAGTCCGGGAGCTCCGGGGGGAGCTGACTGTTTGCAGTATCCGTAGGCTAATAAGTCTCTTAGGGTCGATGTCTGTGTGCTCCCCTAGGCATAGGATTGCGTACATGTATTTCCTCTCACGTCCCTTGGGCCCCGTTTTGGGACCTACCACTAGCCTAAGTTCCGGTAACTTCTTTCAGGTTTTCTGAGATCTCTGAATGAGCAAATCCGGTGGCCCTTTCTTAGGCTTCGTTCTTGGCTTTGGCTTCCATTTTTATCTTCTTTGTGGCCCTGAGAGCACCATCTCACTTGGGTTCTCCTCTTCCTCCTTCCCTTCCTTCACTGGCTTGTGATCTTCAGCATCCCCAGCCGTGAGCGTTCTTCAGGGCGCTGTTCATCTGCTCTTCACGCTCCTCCCAGGAGCTCATCCGTGGTCCTGCACTCAGACGCATGCCTGTGCTGTTGAACTCAGATCTGTTTCCTGCCCTTTCCTGTGCCCAAGGGTTCACCGCCTTCCGCCTTTTGTAGGCAATGCTCAGGCAGTATTTTTCAAGAAAGTACGAAAAGATTTGTTGAGTCAATAAAAAAATACACTATGGATCTTTTCACTGAGAGTTTTCACTATAGCCTATTACATCTGAAGAGAGATTTCTAGTGTCTAATCCATTTATTTATAGCTGACACTGATGAAGTCTGGCATTCTTTGTCCAGAATCACATATCTGGTCACATTCAGGGCCCCTAACCGAGCTCAGTCTTCTGACGGCCAGCACAGGACTCAATCTCGTTTGCATAGCTTCCCCTGCCATCTGGGCAAAGGCTTCAGGAGAGCTTCTCACCACAAAAGAGACTGAGAAATACGCTGCTGTTTTGTAACTTGAAAGGCGATATGCTCAAATGGTTCATTTATTTGCCCCTTTTCTCCTTGAATCAGCCTCTCGTTTTGATTTCTCTCGTTTAGATCAACTCTAGCTTAAAATCTTGGGGCCGCCTTGTGTCTTCTCTAGCCATCACTCTTCCAGTGCATTTGCTGCCATCTCGATGGCAGGACAATGTCAACAAAGCAAAGCAAAGCCCAAAGCCCTCACGCTCACTAGCCTCAAGTCGATTCTGAATCACAGCCACCCTGTAGGACAGGGTCGACCTGCTCTGGTGATTTTGTGAGGCTGTCCGTCTTTCCAAGGGTAGAAGTTTTGTCTTTCTCTCACAGAGCAGCTGGTGGTTTTAAACTGCTAGCAGCCCAGCGCACAACCCGACACCCCGTCAGGGCTAGGCTTCCTGACGCTGCATTCTAGACCAGTCTTCCCGAACTCTTTGTCCATGAATTCCGTAGAATGTCTTCTAGCAAACCCTGTCACATATAACCTCCTTAAACCAGCTGAACTTTGTTAAATGTGGTCAGGACAAACTCTAGAGCCTAGCATAAGAGCCCTTTCTATCTTTCAACATTTATTATCTAAAATTCCAAGCATGTGCAAAAATGGGGCTACCGAAGAGCCCCCATATTTTTATCCTCTAGCTTCAGTGCTCAGCAGGTATGGATTGCACCATTTACACCCTCCTGGACTCTCGCTGGGCTTTGAAGCAAATTCCAGTTATCAGACTTTTTCATCGAGGAATACAACAGTAATGTATTGCTAAAAGATAAGCACTCATTTTTTTATTGTGATGAAATATATAATAAGATATTTGTAATTGCAAATGTTTTTGCAAGTATAGTTCAATAACATAAATTACATCCACCACTTC